CTCATTTTCACTCTGCCTATTCTCTTTGCTATCCCAGGAATAACAATTCCTGGTCCAAATATGGGTGATGTACTGGTTTTAGGATATATGGAGAGAGTGATTGATTTATGGAACTGGCCGATCTTCCTAATCCGTCATTAGGTGTCGCTCCTTTAAAGGAAAAAAAAAAGCTTCACAACCAGTCAAGTTCCCCATGAATTTTACAGTGAAATACCTTAAGGGGAGAATAGACTTGAGAGTGACGCATGAGGCGTCGTCTGAGAGATCGAGCGTCGTGATAGCTCCTCCGATTGCAGCGTCTGGGAGGAAGCTGGGAAGATGATGATTCGTGCTGGGTCGCGTTCGGGTCATTCCATATCGACTATTACTAGACGCTTCTCGCGGAGGAATGGAGATCTCGGCCTCATTTTCACTCTTATTTTTAAAAGGGAGTGGACTCGGGGGATTCCCCTCCAGGGATCAACTCATGTTTTTTTTTTGCTTATTCAACTGGCATCCAGATGCAGAGGAGAACACACCTTGGCTGAGCCGTGTGATGCCATCGTCTCCAACAGAACCCGGCTGCAAACGGACCATTGACGGAGCTCAATCTTTACGCTTCCTTGAAGGATTTTTACACCCTACTGAGCTGAACTACTGTACAAATTCTCTCCTGGAGAGAAATTGTAGGCCTGAAGCGAACCGTCTGTTTCCCTGAGAAACCTACTGGAAGGACCGAGAAAGTGGAGTTTTGATGACGTCGTTGGGCTCCCGCATTCTTATTTTTTACTACGCAGGGACACCCAGTCATCTGTGCACCTCGAAATACCCTATCCTCGATTCGTTAAAGCGTTGTGTCGCATCCGGTCGTGCGATGTCCATGGATATGAATGAGATGTGATGGAAGGATCGGGATTCATTCCAGGAAGAGGCGGTCCGTCACCGAGGACAACTCATAATCCAAGGTGGATATCCCCCGGAACTGCCGCGCTTCACGGCTTTCGCATCCCGCAATCCTTCGTGTTCTATCCTTTGGTAACTCGCGCCCCAAGAGTTTCTAGGAGAATGCGGGAATAGTTGTCATTCGCATTGAAATCTCATGAGCTCCACCTTTTGCTCCACTTTTCACTGCTTCCGTAAAGATGCGGGAAGTGTGAGCTCCACCCGTGAGAGTGAGGCAATGAGAGGAATTGCGGTGTTTGCCCTCTTCGTTGAGGCGTTCTGCCTCGCCGATGTCTATTCCGGTACGTCAACATTCTTCGCCATATTTCCTTCACGTATAATACTGTATGAATCCGATTTGGGTCCACAGGGACCATTCCAGGCTCGTCAGGGGGGGAAGGGGGGGGGGGAGGGGTTGGGTCCGGTTCGTAATTCAATGGTCTCTTCCTTAATTTATAATGGTCTCATCCTCGGTGATGATGACATCGATGCACGCTGAGGTGACCTCGGTCATTGTTGGAACGTATTCAGATCCCCTCCTGAGCACAGAAGCAAAGAAATCGTTTAGAATCCTAGCCATGCCTTCCCTATTACTTAACTATTACTGACAGCCTTTAGCAATAGAAACACCGAATTAATCGGAACAAATGAGGTATGTGCTTGAGCCTTGACTCATTCGTCGTAGCGTTTTCGTTTTTCGTCACCTGAATTCACTCAACCAGTTGAAGACAGTTCGTCTATCGTTACTACCTGAAACGAGGACATTTTCTGCAAGACAATCCCACTTCGATTAATTTTGTAATGAGTCGGAAGAGTTGCTTCAGTTTACGATTGTTCCTTACCTCTCCACTGTCGTAGCAGAAAGTTGGGACCATGAAGTGGCAGAAATTAGTGGAATGTAAAGATTTCGTGATTTTGGAAGAGGAGGATATGCCGCTTGATGGACCTCGTCAAGCTAGCTGATGGCAGTAGATAACCCAGAGCGACTGGAAGCTCCTCACATTCAGAAGCAAAGGAAGGTTTGATGGTTGTCCCGTATCACACGACGCACTGCTACACGTCACGTTAGGTACTGCATTTGCAACACGGGCTTTCCCTGGTTCAACTGCACGTGTGTACTCGATTTAACTTTTGTATCTTATCAAAAGAACTGGGACAACATACACCACACGCTCATAATGCTCACATGATCTCCCCGTCTAGGCCTACTATATTGAGGCACAATATTGAGACTTGGGGGGCTTCTCCGCTCTATCGTGACGAGCTCATTCTTCATACCTATGCAGGTAACGCGACACGATGGCGGCGCCATTAAGACAATTTTTTTTTTACGAGCATCAGCTTCCGCAAAATCAAATTAGTCCAATAGTCAAATCTCCCAGTCTTATGTCAGTCAGCTATCTTAACCCTTCAAGCCCTGAGTTTTGACCTGACCTAAGTGATGATCGTACGGTGTACGTGAAAGCGGTTTGGGTTGAATGCAAAAAATGACTTTCGGCGCATCCTGTATATTTAATCACGCTTATAGACTCACCTCACAGTTGACTGAAAAAGTCATCTCTGGGCTGGAATAGTGGATTAAGGTCAATGATGCCTCCAGAGGTTAAGCACACGAGCACGGGCGCAAAAGGACAACCAAATGGCACTGACAAATACAAACTGGCTCCCACCGCAATTACTTAAAATGCCAACTCGAACTGAGAGGATAGTGACAGAGGAGGATTATCAGAATCCATCTTCAACTCCTTTGGCAGCGTGACCTTGCGAACAAAGGTGGTGGAACTAATTGCTTTGTCGTCGTATGGTCGAATGACACGAGCTTTATTCCAACGAATAACTCGATTCGAATTTTCACTCGGTGACAGGATTTGCGGCAAAAAGCCTTGGATTCATGGAAAAAATTTTTTATAGCGCTGGATTCTCTGATCTGATAAGAAAATTCGGCCCTCTAGTTTGTAGAACCTCTGATCTAATCACGACACGCATTGTCTATTGACTCGTAGAATTTCTGAGAAAATTTCGTGTATTTTCAAGTACTAGTGTGACGGTATTGTCTAACTAAGAGATGGGAAAAAATACATATCCAGGGTGGGTCAAACAAAATCAAAGCTGTCATTTTTGGTTAGTCGTCAATCTCATTGTATGCTGCCGATTCTGATTAAATTTGGCAGGCTTATATTGCGATTTTTATATATACCGAATTTCAGCCTTCTGAGTCTAAAATTGTAGGAGCTGTAATTTTTTTATGATTACCAACTACAAAATGTGCTGTCGAAAGTATCGATATGAACTTGAGGCCGGGATGAAAGGGAGGACCGAATTCATGACCTTCCATCCCTGCAGGATGCTACAAAGGAAGATTGGGAGGCACTGCTTCAAAGAGTTATTGACCATGCCATTGATCTGTGGTGTCCCAGACAAGAAGCTTGTGCTCAACAGAATGGAGGGCACATTGAGCACCTTTTCAGATGAAATGAAGCTACTTAAACCAAATTGTGTGCTTCCGTTTTTGGCATTTACGCATTTCGTTTTTGCTCTGTTCGTTCGCTTGTTTGTTTTTGTCAGTTGTGAGAAATTTCAAGCTGAAAGAAAAAATGAAAACATTTTTTTGGTGATGAAAAGTAAATTAAAGGCCAATCTCACCGTTTTTAGAATTTTGATTTTAGACTCAGGGTAAAAACCCTATTTGAGTCACCCTATGTGCCTACCAAATTTAATCAGAATCAGCCGCCCACAATCCGATTGACAACTCACCAAAAATGATAGTTTTTTTTTGGCCCACCCTGTATATACATACCGAATGGATCTTCGGAGACGAGTCATTAGTGGATTCATCCATGACCAGATCTTTATCCTTTGGGATATCAAGTACTGAAAAATGTGTTCCACAATTCTGAAGAACAAATTAAAAATACCCCAACGCAAAGACAACAGGACCGATTTCGACGAAAGAAGTTCTGCGTGTCTTTGGGCTTTCAAGCATCGAATTGATATTCGCTTTCAAATGCACCTGTATGAAAAAAAATCTCGCGAACATATTCTTCTTTGGCGTTTTCGGAAATGGAATAGAACCAGAAACAAGTGAAAGCCTATTTCACCTATGTCACTATCGTGCGTGAGTGCGGACGGGAGTTTTAGGGTTGAAAAGTTGCATGGGATACAGGCTGCCCCAGCTTTATTTGACCATTTTTAAATTCAGTTCCTACTCGATTTGCAGATAACGATTAATAGTCCAACTCACAACTGAGAAATTGATGCCAATATGGCGAGAAATGGCTCGTAATGACCAGGCAGCTTCGAAACGAAGTGAAACAATTCTACAGTGTTTTGAACAAGACATCAAGTTTACTCCTCGGGCTGGCCAGTAATAGAAATAGGGACAGGGAGATGTGCCTGTTATTGTTCCAAGCAGAAATTCCAAACCAGACTGTTTCCGTGAAAATTTTGGATATATGGTTGCTGAAACCCCGATGGTAATGGCCGCTTTGCGCAGCCAAGAGAATAAGTTATCCAAAGAACAATAATTTTCTCTCTTGATGCCATAAGAGCTGAGATTTTGTATAATGAAAAAACTGGCAAGAGTTTTGGGGACACTTAACAGGAATCTTTTCCTTATGGTGCATCGAGAAAACATGCTACTCACATGGCGTTCAAGAAGCATTCCAACAATCGGTTGGGGGACAGACTTTAATTGTTCCACGCTGAAAAACCGAACCAGATGGATTCTGAGGCGAATTTTGGACAAACGATGCCCAAATCATGACAGATGTGGGCGCTTTGCAAATGTAACATATTAAGCTGACTGAGGATTTACAAATTTTCACAGATGATGCTAAAGGCACTGAGAATTTCGATCATGAAAAAGTGTTGCAAGACTTTTGGAGGGCAGTATAGAGATTCTTTATATCTTGTTATTCATGACTGGTAAGCACTCAGAGGCACCATCCTATAGAGGCATGACATTGGGTTGAAGGGAAACAAGAAAGTCACAATGACTAGTAAAGGTTTGGTAATTTTTTTTTCTAAAGCATTTGTTTATTCATAATTGGTAACAAAAAATTTTCATTTTCATATTGTAACATGGAATGTAAGAATAAGAATATCTTGGGAAGTGTGGCATCCATGGGACAAAAAATGTATCACCAAGTTTTCTGTACCATATAGCCTTATGTATAAAATGATGCTGCAAGCATGATCTGCTGCACTAAAAGAGAAAAATGGAGCATGAGTCTTTCTGGTCTAACCTGAAGTTACAAGCATAGCAATGGAAATTAAAAAATCACAGGTGTTATGACTGCACCAAGAAGTTAGTCACTTCCTCCAATTAGCTTCACAGTGAAATCCTGAAAGGAATAAATAGGAAAAACATTGCAAAGTTCATACTTCTTCCACTTGTGTACGATTGCAATATAACTCCAACTGCATGACTTACCCTAATACCTTGAATGATGCTGTCTTTCACTGCCTTTCCCATGAAAGTTTCATCATCAGGGAATTTGGTTTTCAGCACTTTGTACAAGGCACTGAGCATTTTCATCATTTCCTCAGATGAATTCTATGGGGAACAAATGCTGAAAACATTATCCAATCCTATCAGATGAATGAACAAGCTGGAACTACACAGCAGGGAGGTAGATGTTCTATACCTGGTCTTGTTTCTTCTCAGCAAGTTCTTGCTCTTGCTTTGAGCATTCAGTCATTTGCAATTTCTGTTCCATGTCCTCTTTTGCCTTCAGTAATTTCTGCTTCTCTATGGCAGCATCTTTGAGTTGTTCTACAATATCCTGCAATCCAGAAAAAGGAAATAGGCCAATCCATTTGAAACTTAAATTATGAATCTCTGGTGAATCAAAGGAAATATGAGTCATTCTAATACAGAGGAAGCCAAGAAAAAGTGGACCACTTCCAATTTTGTGCATTGGCTCAACGAATGTGAAAAAAGTGCAAAAGTAAAAAATAGTCAAATGTTGTGGATATACTTCAAATAACACATCATCAGCATGAGATGATGAGATTACTTGTAGTGGGAAATATGGGTTTGGATTCAGGCATTCTCCACATCATGGAGAAGATATCTTTAAAAAATTATAAATTCATTTTTTGACATTGCTGCTGATCACTTTTCTCATAATTTGAACAAGCATAGCATAATAGGAAAGCACAATGGTTGCAACAACAAAACATGAGTGCTCTTTCTGTACCTTTTCCAGAATTATACACCTCATTGGTTACAGTTAGGACACAGGACAATGAATGCTTCAAGGAGAATCATCCAAAAATAAAAAATAAAAACTTCCAAGGTCCATATAAATTTATGGCAGCAAATTTTCCAAAAAATGGTCCAGTTTTCTTCTTGTTATCCTTATTACAATAATTTAATTTCCTACCTTGTGTGCATTTGCAAGCTTTTCCCTATCTTCTTCCAGCAGTTTGCTTTTCTTCTTGAGGTCAGAAATCTCTTTCTGGAACTCCTGAATAATGTCTTGCATGTGGTCCTTATAGCTGGAGTCAGATGGTCGAGCGATAGTTTGCAGGAGACTCTTCAGCCTTACATTCTCCTCTAGCAGTTGAATGTTGTCCAAGAATGCAGATGCAGATGTGGTAGTATCAGGAGACTGCTCAGTCATTGATGGAAAGCTCTGTCTTTGAAAACCATCTGGATGACCATGCAAGCGTGCCCTGCTAGGAAGGCTGGGACGTGGCGTGAGAAGTGGCGGACGGGGTCCCATTGTTGTAGTTGGTCTGAGAAGAGGAGGATACTCAGGATGGGCTTGGATGCACAGATGACCAACAACTCTCTGCAGAACATTCATCTGCTCAAGTGAGAGAAATTGGTTGCCTGCTTTCAATTTTCATACAATAGCCAATTGTTTGGGTGAGATGAATCAGCTTTTACCTGATGAGACATAACATCAACCTTCCCAACCAGTTGATCTATGGAACTCTGAATACATCTGTTACTCTTCTGCATGTCAGACACAAACTGACTGAAAATGGGATTCACTGGCCCTGAAAGAGTTTGGGGTGATACCAGGTGTGCAAGAACAAGATGCTGAAAGGAAACACAAGTCTCTCAGTCCAAAAAGTGAATTTAGAGGAATATATACCCAGAATACTTACTTTCAGACTTACATCTGGCCAGTAGTTATAAGAAGGTGATGGAAATTGATTATCTTCTGGCCCATAAGATACAGAACTTGATCTGACATCCTCTAACTGAATCCATGGCTCAGATATATATTCAGGCTGGTCTCCTGCAACATGTTCCTCATTGCCATTCAGGCTTTGAGGTTGTTCCTGATAAATATGGGAAAGGGTACTCAGAGTATTCCAAGCCTAACTTCCTTATACCAGTGAAGATCATCCTGATGTCAATGTTTAGGTGATTGCAAGAAATCAACAGACACATCTTTGAGAGAACAGTGTTAATTCAAGGTATAGTTTTTAAATTAGACTGCAAGGACTTCAACTAAAAAGGAATTTGATGAGACTAGAAACAATATATCTCAAAGTTGCATTTTTTTTAAACAGATTGAATTGGTTTAATAAAAGTGCATAGGACCATAGCAGATGAAAGGGTCCTGAATGAAAAGCATACTTTTGTGTAGCAAAGGCATATCAAAAGTAGGCATTTTAGAAAGGCAGGTGTCTCTAAAGCAGTGATGAGCAACCTATGGGCCACATGGGCTGCATGAGGCCCACGAGGTCCTGTTGTGTGGCCCACGGGGCTTTGCCAACTGAATTTTTACTCCGGTCATCTGCCATTTGGAGTAGAGCACATGTGCACTCAAGGATTCTGTTACCCACTGCAGGAGAAACAGAAGCAAGAAGAAAAACATAAAAGCTATATTTCTACCACAGCTGCAAATATCCCCTCACTCTCTTCTTGGTCAGTGTATCAGTGTATCACTACTCTCTGAGTAAGTGGCTTGCTAGGTATTTTACTCTGTAAAAAGGTGAGAAAAAATTCACATGTAGTAATTTGCAAATCATTAGCATCTACTATTTTAGTACATGGTTTACAAAGCCAGGCTTAGGATTATGTTGGCACTCAGCAGGCATAAAGCCTGTTATTCAGTCAAATAAAAAATAAAAATATACATAAGGCCCATAGGGGAACCTAGAAGATTCACTTGCAGCCCACAGTCAAGAAAAGTTGCTCTTCACTGCTCTAAAGGGCACATAATCAATCATGTGCTTGACCTATTCAGAAGGAACAATATATTTTATTTTCATTACTTGAGAACTACTATCAGCATGAATCATGCAGGGTGGCAGTGGTGTCTTCCTCTGATGCCAACCTCAGCTTTCTATGAAATGATAGAATTGTACTGTTAAGCGTAATGTTGGGAATGTAAAAATTCACTAACCTGGGTAACTGAAGCCTCTTGACGGGAGTTACAGACAAAGCCAGAACTGGGAGGAATCATGGGGACCACTGGTTGGCCTCCCATTTTAGCTACTCTTGCAAGAAGCTGAGCTTTCTCTTTGCTTGTCTTTTCTGATGCTTCAGACACTGACACACTTTCAGCATTGTCTCTGCCACCCTCACAGTTACCTCTGATCATCAGGATAGATATGGCCTTGTTACAAACTCAATCACACTCCAACTTTCAGATTTATGAATTTGGAAGAAAAAAGAAGACACACCTATCTGGCAAAGCAACATCAGGAATGTTCAATAGTCCAGTTCCAGGCTCCGATTGAATTTTGGATGAATTTTTTGCTTTCACTCGAGTGACAGTAACTCGAATGCAAACTGAGGAGATGCCGTCTTCTTTGTTTTGATCAAAATTCTGTTGGAAGGGAAAGCAATTGCTCAAAAAAAGAGACTGCAAAGAAGGCCCTGAATTTCATACCATTAACTTCTAAAAATTTAATACATGACATTTACCCATACCTTTGTGGTGACATCATTTGAACTTTGAATGATAATGATCCTAGGAATTCCCTTCACTGCTCCTACAAGGGCAGATTCCAAGTGCCATGGACTCTCCCCTTTTCCCATTTTGAACTTTGCAGTTGAGTCACAGGCTGCTGTCTTTGGTACATAGAGAAGCAAGAGTAAGTATTCATCAAAGCAAAGGAAGCTAGATGCCAAGAAACCAATATGTACCTCATTCAGCTGGCATCCATCAATCCCCCAGACAGTGTACTGCACTTCAACCATACTATGAGCAGAGACAGTATCAGCATTTTCCTTCTGCCCCAAATCCATGATGACACCATCTTGGTTACATCCAGAGCAAAAGTATTTGGCTACAAGAAACTATCAAGACCAGAAATAATGCAAAAACTGTAACATGAATGTGAAATTGAGTAGTGTGGATAATGCCTAATTACATGTTTGCAGAATTTCTCCAGCTGTTCAGAATCTTCAATCAACATAGACCAAACAGTACTAGTTTCATCAACAACTTGAAGCCATCTGGCATCATGGACCTGAAAGGTGGATTATATAACAGGTATGTGGTCAAAACAAAATCTGATCAGGAATTAGAGCAACCAAAAGAGAATAAACACAACTGTCAGAACACACTGAGATATGACTGGAAGGAGAAACTGCCATCCGGTACAGGATGTCCTGCTTGGTCCGGTAGGTAACAACTTGATATGAATGCACCTTGTGATCACCAAGCAAAACCAAGCCTGCTTTTCCTTCATTGTGTGCCCCAGAACTCTTGCTGAAAGTATGACCAAAAACTTCATCATTTAAATAATTTGATAACACAATGGATACGTAAGATGCAAGATTTTGAAAATGTTCATTTTCTGTTAATTTTAAGAGCAAGAAAGTAAGAGGGATGGAGCTTTAGGCTCAAGGTAAAGGCCTTGGTTTTTTGGAAGGCTTGGAGTTTTTGCACATACTTAACAAATTCTCCCCCAATGCAAACATGGCACAAAATTTGAGCTAGCTCCAAAAATGCTAAGTTTAGAACAGTGAGGATAGTCATGAAAGTTTGACTACTGCTCCAGTGGGAAGTTTGAAGATTCTTTGTATAGACTGACTCTGCAATGCTGCCAATGAAACTGTTCGATGGTAAAAAGTAGGCATTAAAAAAATGTGAAGTTCACTTTGAAGATCAGTATATAAACCATTTCATGAAAGCAACAGGAATTAGGCTTCTAGCTTTTTTTCTACTAAAAATAATTTTTAAAATGTAACAGAGACTTAGGAAATACCCTGTGCAGGCTGACTACATGATAACATCTTAAAATTAAACTTGGTGCCACTTACTGTCGGTAAACTGTCACAGACAGAGCACAAATGGGGCTCATTGAGCTCCTTTGATGAGACTTGGAATCACCAGAATTATCTTGCACTTTTGGCACCATCTGAGAAGCTGCCTTTGGCTGGATTGGTGCTTGATAAGTCAATGGAACTTGAGAAGCTTCATTCATGTGATCTCCAGAATCATCAGCAAAGAGGGATGCCAGAGTAGACCTGGAAAATAAGACATTTCTTATGAACTTTTGCTGTTTTCTTATTTAGGTAAAAACTAAGGCAAAATATCAGATGGTGCAAAAAAATACACATCCTGTTTGATGCCAACTATGGAAATTCTTGGTTTTAATTTTTTTGTTACACACTGTAAACATGACAAAATTTACTTCCTCGAAGTTAGTGTCATTTGGATAAAAAGCAACAGTCATTCCAACTGCAATCAGAACATTTTAAAATTTCACACATGACTTGAGTGAGGTTATAGCACTGCCATAAAGATTTCTCTCCTTTGATGACAAGGAGGCTGGTTTTCTGCAGTCTTGTTGTAGTATTCTTGATTGTGCAGTGTCTTCAGGCCTCAGATGAGAAGATGAGGCTTGAATATGATGTATTTTGAGCATTACAATTGGAGAGAGAACAGAATCGACACTTTCCTTCATCAGATACAACATGACACTGTATAGTCAAGAACATTGCAATAGGAATGCAGTATAAGTATAAGAAGCAAGCTTTTGATGACAAATGAAATATATCTAAGGAGCACTGCTGAAACTGCTACAGCCTGGAAAATTGGAATTTTCATCTCCCTCAATATTCAATATCTGGTTCAAGAAGAACCTCCCCCTCCCTGTACCTTCTTGAGTTTGTTTAGCCTAATATCATACTTCTCCTTATCTTGTTCATTATCCCATTCTGTGGGCAAAGTAGATTATAAAACATCAGAGAGCTGAGGTGTATTCTAAGGGCATTTACTACCCTAAGTGATGTTTCAGACATCACCTCCAGAATTAAGCAGTGTGGTTGACTCTGGGAGTGTATCATCTGCTAATCACTGGGAAATTGAGAACTCCATATCCCACAAAGCTCTAGAGAATCTACAGATGTGCTCGCAAGGCCTCTTCCACGTTTCAATTCTAACCTTACATGAACCATACCGGTTTCCAGCTGGAGCCAAGGCATCAGCGGGATGGCACCGTCCAAACATGACATCACCATCGTTGAAGTCATCGTCATCCCCCTCCATTAAAATCACACTTTGGTTTAATGCCCCGGCCTCAAGTCTTAGGCCCAAATATATTGAGGCTGATTGAGGCCGACGTATTCCACGTGAGCATGAAGGTCGGCGCCATTGATGTTTTCCTAAAACAGGGCAGCCAAATTTTCAAAAGGAAATATCACAACCTATCGCCAATAACATCTAAGAGCTGGTTGTGCTGTCTCTGCTAAGTCAGCTTAAGTATAAAGCTTGACTTTGGAATCCTGTCTTAAATTTAAGCCAATTGCATTGAAGTCCGAAGTCTGACTTACATGTTTGTCTCATCTTGAGGCCAATCTCCGGCGATGTCTAAACTGCGTGATTCTGACTTCAAATTGTCATAAAATTATAGTTTCGCGTGAAATTGTTATGACTGCCGCGAGGGAAAAGAAATTCCACATCCTGAAGGCGCAGAGTTCAAGCCTTCCCTCTCCCCTAAACCCTCCGAATGCCTCCACCTCCCCCTTAGGGGCCGGTGTTTGGGAGTGGGCTAAGGTTACCAGATTTTTCTCGAGGAGCTTGCGTGACGTTGCTCTTTACTTGGGCAGTCGGGGATCAAAGTTCGCATAGGTATTTTTCGCGTCACCAGAGGAAAATAGGAGAACATCTCGTGAACTACTGTCCCTCTGGGTATCGATGCGTGACCCCTGACAATCTGAGGGTGAGAGAGTAAGGTGACCAGATTTCTGTGTCTCGGAAGCGGGACGTCCAATAAATACTTTCTTGCTTCCTAAAAAAGAATATGAGTGTATTTGTTACACTGGCAATTATATTTATTATTGTTGAAATATGAATTAGAACTGCTTCGTTCACTCGTTCCGTCTAAATCGGGACGTCTGGTCACCTCATGGGAGAGGCGTCACGTAATAACACCGAAAAGTATAGCATCGATGCAGAAGAGTCGAACTGTTGACTTCTGAAGAACGACGGAGTCACGACGTCAGGAACAATGTCGACACATAAGTAACTCAGCACGAAAAAATGCCGTCGGGGTTATTCCGAGCTCGACGCTGTTTCTTTCGATGTTGTTCCGTGTCGATATAAATCCATGAGTCATTTGTCGAAGCAGTTCCGTTTCGATTTGCTTCAATCGGAGTATTTTCGTGCCGATGTTTTTCTGTGTCGAAAACATTTCTAGTAGAACTATTTCTGCACCGATTTTATTCCTACCAGCATTAATGTGTCGATGTTGGTCATGTTAATATTATTCTCCACGGAAGACAGTGGTTCATGTGGCACTTCGCAAATGTCACAAGAAGTCAATTTCGATGAAGGTGTTTGATAACTAAAGTCTAAATTCTATTTAAATTTTGGCGCTGGGATTCCGGCTCCGGGAGGAAATGCCAAAGGCAATTTCCATCCAGCCCTTTGCGATTGGGATATGGGACAGTTTCGATTCTATACTCTCTTGAATCGAATTTTATGCATTAATATTTATACATTAACTTGCGCAAGCTGACCAAACGAGTGGGTTTCACAAACTATTTTTTTTTTTCTGAAATTACTTTCCCTCTTTAGGGCGAGGCTTAAAATCGCGACGGAATGTTATCGAAAGAGTGGCTTTTTCTCACCACGAGTTGTAGCTCAGGTCCGACATGGAGTAGATTTATAGTTGTAAGCATTTGATTATTTCAATTGCTTCGCGCGGACTTTTTTTTTATCATGCTCCGAAATTTTGTCAGCACATCCATGCTGCTTATTCCGTTAACCCCAATGAAAATTAGAATTCTGCATTTTACCAAATCCTCTCCTGCATTCTCCATATGATAAAACCAAACATTGTCATCCCGGATCTTCTTTGAGTGTCCCATTACAAACGATTTAGGAATAAGTATGAAACTCTTTCCATCGATGCTATCATTATGAAGAATGTAGTTACGAAGGTGAATGTGTTATGCAAGTAATGGTTGGAGAAAAGGTAGAACGTAGCAATAAATCTGATCGGGACATGATTGGCATGAAGACTTTGACCTTATGGCTCACCATCCCATTGTACTCGTCTACCGGTTTTTTCCACTTTCGAAATTATTTTCCCATAAATTTCAGCCTTGCATTTTCTTTTCCGAACAACATTGCAACATGTGAATCTTCCTTCCACCTTCAGTTATTCTACCCTGCTCTCTCCACGTATCGTAGGACAATTCACACATGCGTACCCAAGTCATTCATTTTCTGAGCTGATTATTATGACGCTCTCATTCAGATTATTTTGATTTCAGGATTTCAGGATAGTTAGTGATATCAAGAGGCGATTTCGCCCATATCGATATCACGTGTCGAGATTGAGCGTTCCTTAATTTTAGGGTAGGCCTAACCCTCTTAAAGCTAAATATTTTTGTATTTTTGTTTGTTTGTTTGTTTGTTTTTTTTTGTTGTCTGTTTGACTATCCTAGTTG